TTGGCACCACTGTCAAGTCTGCCCCAGCCTCTTTGATTTGAGGGAGGGTCCTTTGAACAGCAGCTCCTTCACCTCCCAGATTCAGATTTATGAAAAGCCAGATGCAACCAGAGGGGCAGTGTCACTGTTTTAAGAGGGGTTACCTACTCTGGGATGTATTAAAACAAAACAGCAGCTGGAGAACCCTGTGTACAAAACACCCCAAGGGGGCTGGGCAGTAGCCCCAGTGGGAGCACATGAGCACCATGTCTCTGTGGAGAGCTTGGGAGGAGCAAGGACTCCTGAGCTGAAGGAAGAAGTTTCTACAAGGCATGTCCTGCCAGTCCTCATCCACCACTGCCACCACTAAACCCAACAGTGCTGAGCTGCAGGGCCTGCCACCAAAGACCCCAGGGGCCACCACCCCAAACCTGAAACCAGGAGCTGAGGACACCAGGCCCTACTCTGCATGCTGAGCTCATCTCCCCTGCCCCCTTTGTCCCCCCCAAGAAACCTCAGCCTTTTGTGCCTGACCCCATGGACCTGGAAGGTGCTGTTTCTCCCTGGCCTTCCCCCTCCTGGGCCCACACGTGGCCTCCACTACTTGAGGCACACGTGGGCTGCACAGACCCTCTGTGGGAGCAGGAACCTCTCTCCTGCACAACTTCCATGGCAAACAGCCCACGAGTTTAAAGCCACTGTTCAAGTGACTGTTCAAATTTGCCAGAATAACTGTGACCAGACAAGGAAACTTCCTTGTGATTCCTCAGGAAGACCAAGACACCAGTCCCAGGGTGAGGGAAGCCTCCTAGCTGGCACAACAGAGATTGTGAGGCCACAGTTTGGGCCCTGGTGTCAGTTTTGGGCACCACAGGATAAGAAGGACATCAAGGGGCTGGTGAGGGCTCTGGGGAACATGGCTTGTGAGGAGCAGCTGAGGGACCTGGGGGTGTTTAGTCTGGAGAAGAGGAGGCTGAGGGGAGACCTGGCTCTCTACAGCTCCCTGACAGGAGGCTGGAGTGAGGTGGGGGTTGGTCTCTTCTCCCAAGAACTAGCAATAAGATGAGAGATAGGCTTTGGTTGCACCAGGGAAGTTTTAGACTGGATATTAGGCACAATTTCTTTCCTGGCAGAGTGGTGAGGCCTTGGCCCAGGCTGCCCAGGGAGCTGGTGGAGTCACCAGCTCTGGAGGGGTTCAAAAAATGTGTAGACATGGCACTTTGGGACATGGTTTAGTGGTCATGGTAATGTTGGGTTGATGGTTGGACTTGATCTTAGAGGTCTTTTCCAACCTTAATAATGCTATGATAATAACCTGCTTTTTTGTTCATTCCCTCTTGCCAGCTGACCACTGCCAAAGCCCTTGGAGGAATGGCAAAATAAATAAATAAAAAGAAGCCTAGTTGCTTCAGCATGGACTGGACAAAAGGAAACACCCATGGCAACAGCCAGTGGCACCCACAGGACAACCACAGGCCTGCCTGGCCACGGGCAGAGGGAGGGCTGTGGCACCCACACTGGAGCTGGCATCCAGCTGGCAGGGACAGGACCTGCCACACACTTACTCGCTGTGTGACACTCTGCAGGGCAGGTGACTCCATACAAAATGGGCATAAAAATGGGCAAGGTTCTACAAGATGGGCAGCTGAAAAGAATTAGGGAATTGCCAGACATTTTTTTCTCCTCTAGCTTTCTGCAAAAACCCATCAGCTTTCCCTAAATAAACTGTGCCATCTGCTAGTATTTCCCATGACAGAATAACACAGAAGATCAAAATTACTCACTAAGAACTCATCCCGGATGAAGAACTTGGCTCTTGTGACTTTGGGGTCTTCTCCTGCATCTGGTGTTGCTGTTCAATTAAAAATAAATGACATCAGAAACATAAAAAGTAAACAATCATCTAGTTCCCTAAGAGAAGATTTAATAAGGAGGAAGTAGTCCTTCAATAAAGGGATTCAAATGCTGAACATCCACAGGAGATTCCCACCAGGCAGCTCTAAAGTGGAAGGGTGCTGTACAACCTGACCAGGCTTTTAATGTATTTTAAGATCTTGAAAAGTGCTGAAATCATTGCAACAATGTCACTGGTCATGCCATGAAGAGGCTTGCTCACATCCACAGGTTTGTTCATAGAGATACAAACCAAGTGGGAGTCAGGTTTTGGCTTTTATCAGAAAACAGGACTAGACAAGCAGCAGAGCAGCACCTCCTGAATAAAGCTTCTGCAGGCAGGAACTGGGGTTCAAAAATGGTTAGTCCAAGATGGCACTTCAAACAAATGACAGCATCAAGAGATCTTTTAATATATATATTAGTTTATTTCCAGGCTCTAAGTGAGCAGAATCCTTTGCCACACCTCCCATCAAGGGCCATTAGGATAAATTGTTGTTGAGGAGCAGACCCCCTGGTCAGCACTAACTGTTGCAGGTGAAGTCACCTCCATCTAGGCCACGTAACAACTGCATTTACTCTATGTGTAAAAACCAAACACTGAAGAAATAACTCCCTCACCTCCCTTCAGTGTGATTTCTCCTCATCAAAGATACCAAATCAGATGCTTATAAATGTAATATGGCACAGGGCAGAGTGGATCAGAATATGGAAATGTATTTTATCTGTAGTGCTAGGGGTAAACAGAGCAGCAGCACCATCAGCAGCATCTTAAATCTTCAGTGCTGCTGTCCTGAAATAATGTCAGCTGAAATTAGGGAATAAATTAACAACTACAGGTTAAAAATAGAGCACTGCTTCATGTGTGAGTATTGTGGGTCACTCTGGATATCTACTGTGAAATCCTGCTGAGAACCACCAAAAGCTACTTTATTCTGACAACTGGCTTACTATTTAAAAAGTCAAAAAATTACCCAAATGCTGTATATATGTGGTGTGTATTTGGAAGGGGGAAATTTGGGTGAGGGTGACAATATTTCTCCTGGAAGCCCTTAGCATTGTAAAACTGGTGCCAGGTCAATTCAGATTTTAGGCCAGTTTATTTATCCTCTCCACCTGAAACTCTGCATCATGCCAAAATTCCAGGAAAGGAAAGCTGAAAACAGCTTATTACCACCTTCACTTTTATGGGGTTGGTGGCTAATGGAGAACAAAAACCTCTTCCCACAGGCTGCTGCAAGCACTACAGCAGTGGCACTGCTCGGGTAAGGCTGGTGGTCAGGAAGTGCAGGTTTTACAGAACTGCTGAACACAGACCTGCGACATTTGGGAAACTCTGCCTGGTATAAAACTGGCATAATACCAGAGTTTACTTGTGCAGTAATCATTGTACTTCTTGCAATGGTGAGAAGCTGAGCCCCTGCCAAGGGCTGGATGGTCCCAGGGCAGCAGGGGCAGTGCCTGTGTGGTGGGACCCTTACCATCCTCAGGTACAGTATAATGCGCGTATTCAGGGAAGTAATCTTCGATTTTTGATTTCCCTGCCAAGACTTTTTCAGCCAGCATGTCCTGTTTATTCAAGAACAAAATGATAGAAATGGTCCGTAACCACCTGTCAAAAACAAACCAAAAGTTTGGGTTATCTCTGGCACGCTCACTGAGGAAAACCTAACGCTTCAGTAGCAAAGCAGCTGGCCAGCCCCGCGTGGATGGAGAGCCAAGTGCTGTCAACATGCTTCAGCAGGGAAAGTGATGACCTGGACTACTGCTCTGACTGGGTTCCACCTGTGGATATATCTGTAAATCTAGCTATAAAAACTCCAGCAGACATTGCTGAAGGGAGCAGTCTTCCAATATTATTTTCTAAATTATCCTTTCGATATCGAGTTGGGATAATGATGACATTTCCTAAACACCTCAGCCCAAACCCAGACATTACTGCCCACTTTGTTTGGTTTTGCTGAAGCAAAAGAAAAAGGCTGGAGAGCTGCCTTCCCTCAGACTGCTCTGCCTGAACTCACAGTCCATCCACTCAGAAATCCCATCTTTTAGGGTGGTCTGTGTGACACCTGATGAATCAAAAGACCCATGAAAATTCAATCCAAAGAGAAGCCATCACTGTGACAATATGTCTCTGGGCCTTGCATTTGACAGTTTTCCTCACTCTGCATTCAGCCACTCCTCAGTGGAGAGCATCCTCACAGGCATGTGCTGAAACTGCACTATCTTCTTTGGTGTATTGTCTTTACTCATTCTCCACCAGGAACCTCTCTAGATTGCACTTTGGTCACACATCTATAACTGGGAGGGGCTCTGGGGCAGAAGGGTGATTTAATAGCAGTTGGAATCAGGTTAGATCTGAAATCTCATCCCAGGAGGCAGCTCCCAGAGAAGAGTCTCCTGGGAGCAGCTGCCCAGGTGGGCAGTGGTGGGTGCTGAGCCGAGCCCAGCGCCGGCAGCTCGCTGCCCCTGTGGTGGGGCCTGGGGAGGGGGAGTGTGGCTGGAGGATGCTCTCGGCCAGCTCCAGCTGAACTGGGGAGGGAGAGGGCAGCCACCTGTGTTTTACCTGTTATTCCAGATACTTTTGAAAAGGTCCAGGGATTCCCGTAGTCTGTTTGTGTTATTGTCTTCCCTTATTACCATGTTGTAGCTGCTGCACGCCACCACGAAGATGATAGCTGTGACATCTGGGCAGAGCACGTGCAACAGGAGAGGGGAGAGAAAAACCACTGCTGTCATCCCAGCACACACTCCTCAGGGTAACCCTTCCACCCCAAACTGTCACCAGTGCCCAAAGAAAGTATGTGCAATGCTGGACTCCTGCATTAGTGACACTGTGTGTGAACACCAAGCTGCTCACACCTCAGAGAACAAGCTCAGAATAAAAATGTGGAATATTTCTACTTACCATTAAAGCATTGGATCCATTTTCTTCTCTCATCTCTCTGGCCACCTACATCAAACATGCTGTTAAAAAACCATAGGATGTTATATCACTGATGTGCTCTAGGAAAGTCACACAAAGCATGCAGCACAAGGGCTTAGCTTAAAAATCTGACAGCTCCCAGGGTGGTAAAATACCACCCAAAAGGGAGAGAGAACCAACCAGCCAGTGAACCAACCAACAACCCACCACAACTCCCACCCTGGAACTACTCTACCAAGCATACAAGAGCACAGACATCTAAACCAAGCTGTTAAAAATTAGCAGGACCTTCATAAATTATTACTGATAGACTTACTGGAAATTTACTTTATCTACTTGAAATCTTGTTTCAAAAATCCCTGATGTCAACACTCTGCATCTTAATAGGTCCTGGAAATGAGAACACAGAAGCTGATTAGGAAAAGGTTTTTTTCTAACCTCATTTTGTTTATAAAAGCACGGGGTATTAGTTTCCATTAGAAGTCTGGGTGAGAAAGTTCAATCAGACTTTGGTAAACTTGTATTTGTCCATCCTGACACTGCTCTATACACAAAGATCACCTCCTGTGTGTGTCTTGTGCACACGTGGAAAGCAGGACACCCCATGGATGCTCTCCTCAGTGCACAATCAATCCTGCCCCTGATGGTCATATCATTTTGTATGTGATGAAGATAAATTCTGAAGTTACATAAAACTAGGAAAAGTGTGTTGTTTGTGTTATAAAGTCAAATTTTCAAATGGCAGAGAACTCCAGGTTTACAGTTGCCCAGGTAACCTTAATTCTGCCCTCTTTTGTACTGAGTGAGACAGGTATCCTATCAAGATAACAGCTTGTGGCTGGGAAAAGCTCTATCACAGAGCACAGAGGAGCAGAATTTAGGCTGTACATAAATCTGGCACTTCTTTCTCATTTTCCAAACTAGCAATACTTTACAACTTAAACAACATTCTTTTAATAATTTTTAAAATATTCCTAGATTCTCAAAGGAAGAAGGCAAAAGCAATTCCTGGCCAGCAGCCAGCCATGGGCACCACCAGCAGCGTTTTTAACCCTGCCTGCTCAGGTCACACACACACCAGAGGCTGGAGGAAGCTGCTGGCTGCCTGGTGGGGATGAACCTCACCGAGCAGCCCTCTGGGCACAGCTCCTGTGTGCTGTGCACTCTGAGCTCAGCTTGCCTTTTTGGCACCCTACCATCTATGGCTGCAGGTGCTCTGGTAGCTGGCACACCTCGCTGCTCTCACAGCTGTATGAACCCAGCTGAAGGCCATGAATCTAACTGGTTTAGTTATTTAAGGTGTTACTGTCCTCTTCCATCCCTTGTTGACATTTATTTGTTATTGGCCTCAGTCATTATCTTGGGATGGTGCATAAAAAATTAGAGCAAGCATGGGGAAAAAAGGAAAGTAGTGATTTTTATCAGTTAATTGAGCAGGACAACTGATACAGCAGGATGAAAACCCAAAAGCAAAAGAGAATCACTCTTTTTAGAGCCAAAGTTTTCCATTGGCCAAATACCAAAGGCCTCTCCCAGTTTTTGGAGACACAGGGCACTTCCTCCCACTGGAAATACCACAAGAACTTTCTAGATGATGAATGACTGCTCCAGGTAGAGGAAGGCCTCCCAGGAGCAAACATACCAACACTACCATAAATAATGAAAGCAAAAACGAGGCTCTGCTTCATTGACTCCTCTCTCCAGCTGAGTGCTATTGATGGTGAGTGATAATCAGCCCCTGAGGCCTGCATGGAGTGTATCCCAGTGCTACTGCTTTGGTCTGAAAATGTCTTCAGGGCTTTAATAATTGATCCTATATTGGGTCGACTATACGAGTTTCACTTTATCACCCACATGCTGCTTTTGACTGCCTTCTATTTCAGGGTATGGCCAGAGTCATTGGAGAGTGGTGACAGGCCTGAAGTGGGTCTGAAGGGACAGGCTCTGCTCCGTGCACTTCCTTGTGGGATCCCTGGCAAGTCACTCCACTTCTCTCCATTTCAGTCCCTGACTGTACAATGAGATTGGGCAATTGTCCATTTTTAAGGGCACCCACCCCTTATCCACCTTGCACGGTCAGACTGAGCTACCCTGTGCAGGGATTCTCCTGCCACCTCTGTCTGCAGTTTACAACGTGGCCAACAATCTTGGCTGAGACTTGCAGATGACAGGGGGATACCAGCACTGAAAAATAACCTCAGAGTAAGCTTGCTAAAGAGATAATCCACCAAGGAAACCACACTGCCTGAGCTCAGGGGAGGCAGCTGAAGCCATACACCACGGTGAAGCTCCTTCATATTTCAAGGCTGCACCACTTCAGCCTTAACTTCCTGAATGTGTCAGAGCACTCTGCCAAGATATATCATGAGATCTGGGAAAAAAAAAACGTACTGCCCTGCAACTAGGCAAACAGAAACCATCCTGCCCACAGGAGGTGGGCACAGGCTGTGAAGAAGGTGTCTGCATGCCCGCAGAGAAGTCCACGAGACCTGGTGCTGCTGCTCTCCCCTGAACTTGGCCACTGGACCTACTGGATGCTTCTCTCTCTGAAGGACTCATCTGATGGACATGCAAAGCCTCCACCTCCAGCAGTGAAATGAGACACTGCTTCTGTGCACCAAAGGCTGGTGAGGGAACCTGTGGGCTTTCAGGTTTATGTTCTCTGTTCCCTTTGCTTCGTTTGTGGGACACAATGGGAAGTGAGAGGAGATAACAGACCTATTACAGGAACCACCATCCTACATCTAATAACAGTAGAAGACAAGTCTGCACCCCCAAAACCCCTCTTCTACTTTAATACACTTATACCAAAATACAACCTAGCAGGTTATGGGATATACCCTATTTCCAGCTGCTTCTGGGACTAAACCAGATGACATGAAGAACTTGTATGAAAGGTGTCTTGGTTCAGAGCCCACCCCACCAGCTGCACTCACCTGGTCTGTGGGTGTGTAGTCATCCATGCTGACACTGTCAATCCTTTCTAAAAAGCTGGAAGAAAAAGAAACATGCACTTAGATAAGTAAAATATTCTCCAGTATTACACTTTGCACTGCTTTTTCTGGTTCAGACTCCCACTGCAAGGTAAAAACACAAGTCCAATGGTAAAGGCATGAGCCTGATGATTTCCTTACATTGCCTGAGGTTACACCTTCCAAGCCAAACAACTTCTTGCCCAGCCTTTGTTTCAGTACAGAGCTTCTACACTCACTGTTAGGCAGCACCCCCAAGCAGTCCAAGTGCACTCAAATGCTGTCATTTTGTGAAGTCTATAAAAAACCTCAGACTAATTACATGCCAGAACATTATACGGTTGTTTAGACATACAGATTTTGGGGTTTAAAAAAGAAAATGGGGTGAAGGGTTGCCTTTATTTAGCATAATGCCAATCTAGCATTATGCTGTGCTAATTGTGGTCTCAGGAATGCTTGTTCATCTCTACAACTGACTTGGGCTGCCCTGGAACGCTGCAGCTCCAGCAGAAGAAGTGGGAAGCGAGGCTGACGTGAAGCAGAGCTCAACCAGCTCCACTCTGCACCTCACCAGCACTCACTAAGGTGAAACAAAAACAACTCCAGGGAAGGGCAAGAGAAAAGGGAACCAGAAAAAAAGGGGAAGCACATTCTCCAGTTATCTAAAGTATCTTCTCCAGCTTTAATCCTTTCCTAGAACATGTCAGAGAGGCGGTATTAGGGACATAAAATGTGACTTTATGTGCACTAAACCAGGCAGGTTCTCCCCTCCCACTTTCACCCATTTCCTACATCTTGTGTGAGCCCTGCTGGCTCATCTTCCCCAGACTGCCCATAGGACTCAGAAGCTTTCCTGAATTTCTGCATCATTATCTGGCAGTGAATATTCCACCAGCTGACTCATCCTGCTACAGCATTATCAAGATTTCTTTAGCAACTGGCAAGTTTTCCCTAGTAGTACCTGGGTGTGCATGTGGAATCTGCTCAATTGCAGTGGGAAAGACAAAAAACCAGCAAACTCTTGACTTACAGCGTGACTCCCTGTTAACACAGGGGTCACACACACTGAGCAGTTGAAAAAATACCCCCCTAAGAGGCTGCCTGCAATTCTCATGCCACTTTCCCACGGACTGAAAGGGAAAGAAAATATGCTGTGTATGTATTTATTTATAATATTTTTCCTTTTTGAACCTCTATTGTTACCAAAGGGAAACAAAATGCTGCATCTAGTCAGAGCACCCAGCTTTCCCTTCTGGGTGATCAAGGTGTGACAGCTCAGCTTATTGTTTAAAAAATCATTGTTTAGTGCAACACCCTGGGGGCATGATAACAAACCTATACTGAACAAACTCTGAAGAAAAATCCACCTCTAGAATATTGGTTAAGCAAAGTTTAATTTCAGTCACCCCCCCAGCTAATGCTGATACTGGAGCAGAGGGATGCATTTTATGTGGCACACCTACCGACAGCACAACTCTCATCTCACGCTTCCAGCTCATGAGATACACAAAGTGGCCAAAAAGCCTAAATCAAAAATGCCTCCAAGCTGACCTGCCTCCTGAACAAGGAGTAATCTTCCACAATACAGCTGTTTAGGCAGCACTCCTGTATTTCTAAGTCTGTTTCAAAGGGTTTTTTGGTCCATTGTTTTTCAGTTCGATACGACAGGCCCAGAAACAGCCACTTTTCATCTCAGTAAAGGTTAGAGAGGGGGAAATCCAGCTCTCTGAGCATGGTGAGGTGGCAACCCCAGCAGAAAAGGAAGGTTATTGGCTGTTAGTGTTTGTGTTTTCTGAACAGAGAAGTCATGGTGAAGAGCAGGGGAGTGAGGAACGCTGAGTTACACTACAAATAATCCATGGCAGGGTTGGGAATGGGAGAAGTCTCCTAACTAGAAGTCCTACAAGTCATCACAAGTCATCTTTTTTCAGTCTGGAGAAGAGGAGGCTGAGGAGAGACCTTGCTGCCCTCTACAAGTCCCAGAAAGGAGCCTGGAGTGAGGTGGGGGTTGGTCTCCCAAGGAACTAGTGATAGGACAAGAGGAAATGGGCTGAAGTTGTGCCAGGGAAGGTTTCAGTTGGATATTAGGAAGAATTTCTTTCCTGGCAGAGTGGTGAGGCCTTGGCCCAGGCTGCCCAGGGAGCTGGTGGAGTCACCAGCCCTGGAGGGGTTCAAAAAACGTGTGGATGTGGCACTTGGGGACATGGTTTAGTGGTCATGGGAGTGTTGGGTGATGGCTGGAGTTGATGATCTTAGAAGTCTAGGCAAACTGGAATCACTTTTCTAAACTGCTTTCTAAAGAACATTAATTTCTTCTAATCCTAAATGTCTCTAGTAATTACACTCTGGCATAATATGCATTTTTCCATATATATACATATATACACACCAGCAGACTTTAAATTTAGGAGGCTAAAAATTCAATTTAAAGTGCCTGAAGTATGAAAATACCCCCCAGCTGTGGCAATGCTGAAGTCTCCACCTAAAGAATCCGTGTGAGGAAAACACAACAGCAGGAAAACTAGTAAAAATGCACACCAGTATCACTTATTCTCTCTTTTTATATATACATATTTTTTTTCAGCTCAGGGAGAAAACTGTTTTCACAGAATTCTGCCTTCTTACAATACTGACAGGTCTCCTATTTATGCAGCTTCCACAGAGCCCCATATTCAGGATTTATGTTAATTCTGCAGTGATTGCTTTGCTTTGCATGCATATGCAATGAACTTTAAACTCACGTGTTCAACTCAGCTGTGAATAGAGCTACAACATGATATAATATTGATATTTCTTCTTTGCAAGTGTGGTTTTATTTATAAAGGATTCAGTTTGATAATAAGTATGACTTTTGGCTCCTCCTTCATTTTACAGTAGGGTGTTTTACACTTCCTTACATGGATCAGCACAAACTGCTTTTCCCCTTTTTAAAATAAAACAGGCAAGGTATTGGAAGGAAGGTCTTTGCTGCTCTGTTTGGAAACACAGTGGTTTGGTTTGCTGACAAATTAGAGCAAAGAAAAATGGACTGATAAAAGTTAAAAAACAACAATCACGAGCTACTGACATTATTATATCTATTATTAAGCTGATCTGTGGTTTTATAAATATCCTTAGTGAGTTTCCTAGGAAACTCAGCTGACACTTGGTTTGAGGAGCAATCTCTACATTTTCTATTATGCAAGCTTTGAACACAAAAGTACAGGTTTTAGATGTGCCTGCCAGTGCATGTGGGAACTATCAATAAGCATTATTCTCTTCTAAAATCATCACAACCTGAGCAGCAGTAGCAGCTATATAAGAATCTCTGGAAAAAGGATTCATAAATGCACCAATAAAGAGAAGGTAATCATACATTAAAATCCTTTTCTTTCTGGGTAAAGCACTACGTGGCTCTGTACAGATATTCTGAACCTACACACAAAATCACAATTAAAAGAAAAATCATGGCTTGAGAATAATATGATAGACACACAAACCCAATACTGTATTTTTAAGGGTATTTTGACATCCAAAGAATTGGGAAGATGAAGTGCTAAACTGTAGATCAGTACAACTAACTATACATTTTAATAAAACTTCACCCACTTCAACTGTTTTTTTATGCTCTCACCCCAACATTTCAAAGACCTTGTATCAAAAAGTTGCTGTGGAAAACAAGAAATCAAATTCATGTCAAAATGCTTGTTTCTATAAAAGAAAAGGATAACATGGAAAATCTGTGAGGCTATAGCTTTAAGTTCTCAGAATGAAGAATCTCAAATCCATCCTCAAGCAAGTTGCTGGGATCAGCAAACCTCTACATTTCTGGTGGACCATTAAGAGCTTTGCAAACTCCTCAGCCAGCCTCAAAAAACAACAAAAGCACAATAATCTATAAAGCCCAGGGCTTTGAATTCCACCTTTCTGGACTGCAGTAAGTCACAGGTGAGGCAGCCATTTCACAGTGAGAACACCCACCCCAGGTCTCCAGGGAACTGAAATGAAATTTTTCCTGTTGCAGTTATCAGGGACAAAAATCAAGCTTTGAACTTTTGTTTTTTTTCCTTCTGCTGTTCTTTCCACAAAATACCTTTTTTAAAACCACCCAAAGGATTACAATCCTTGTAATTCTTCCTGCAGTATCTGAAATAGGAAACTATGGATTTCTGGTTTCAAGAATACCTTAGGCTCCATGGTTGGATTCTGATATATTTCCCGGTAACCAAGAAAGACACAATGAAAACAGCCCCCACTAATATTCTAACCCCTAAAGGATTAAATTTCCCAAGTCATTTGCTGAAAATACCAGCAGAAATCCCTCAGAAGGCATTGGTAAAATTTAACAGTGGAAGATTTTCCCACCAAATTTAAATAGTCATTATATTTTAAATGCAGCTTCCATGTGGTAGTGGAGTTTTCTTCCTCTCTCCTTCCACAGCACTCTGCAGCTGCTTCCCACGAGGAGTAAGCATGGCAGTGAAGGCACAATGAGAGGGACCCAAATGGGTTTTGGATCCACTCTGGCTCACCTACACGGTTCCCCAGTTCTGAATGACCAATTGCTGCATGAGTAATGATCTCAATGAGCAGATACAGAGTGCACCCTCAGGAAGTTTGCAGATGACACCAAGTTGGGTGGAAGTACTGATCTGCTGGATGGTAGGGAGGTTCTACAGAGGGAACTGGCCAGGCTGGATCAATGGGCTGAGGTTCAATAAGGCCAAGTGACAGGTCCTCCACTTGGACTACAACCCCAGGCAATGCTTGAGGCAGAGGGAAGAGTGGCTGGAAACTACCTGGTAGAAAGGACTTGGGCATGCTGGTGGCTGGTCAGCTGGACATGAGCCAGCAGTGAGCCCAGGTGGCTAAGAAGGTCAACAGCATCCTGGCCTGGATCAGCCCTAGCATGGCCATCAAGACTAGGGCGGTGACTGTCCCCCTGTACTTGGCACTGGGGAGGCTGCACCTCAAATACTGGGACCAGTTTTGGGCCCCTCACTCCAAGAAAGACATTGAGGGGCTGGAGCATGT